TGGACTGCAAAGTGGCAGCATCTCTGACTCATTTAGTTCTCCCTAAGGAAGGTCCTCCATTCTCCTCCCTGGGGTTGGGTAAATGTTGGTATATTCCTGGCTGAAGAATGTGGGGAGCAGGCAGAAAGGGTGCTGCCTTCTTCACGTATGAGCCTTTTCAAGACACCCCTGCCTCTTTTCAGCCCTCCTCACTCGTGCTTCTGCTCCCTCCCTCAGCCCTTGCCAAGGACTGCAGCGCCTCATCCATCACTTCATACCTCACTCCACCCAGCATTTTCTGCTTGTTCCCCCTTGTAATTGTTCTCTTGCTCTTTGTCTTGTGTCAATATAGTGAAGGATATTTGGTAAGGAGTTCATATAACATACGCATTTAATCTGCCATGTTTAACCAGAAGTTGTACTTAACCTGCTTGGGGTTTCTGGACCTTCTTCAATCATATTGCTTCTCTCTTCTCAAGTGTCAAATTCCTGGGCTTTACTCTGATTGGATGGTCTACAGAGGGCCATGAGTAACCTGTACGGATTGGGTGAGGCCTGGGTCAGGTGCACTTCCATAAATGAATTTCTATGGCAATGGGGATGGCTGGTTGATTGGTTCAGGCCTGGGTCACCATGTGAGTGGGTGTGGGTTAAGCCTCACTGAGGCCCTACAGTGTGATATGCTGAGGCTTTCCCCATGTGGTCCTGTTAGGTTGTGCTTGATGCATCCAGACCCCAAGGCTGTAGGAGGTGCATGTTGGTCTTGAAGCAGGGATTCTCCCCTGACTATGTCTGTTCCTCTTCGCTTCTGTACACTTTTCTCTTTTCTCTACAGAGTAGTGCCATGGCCATAAAGATACTATCAACTGAGGAAGACACCATCCTAAATGACCATGTGTCCCAATTCCAAATTCCTGGCATTCTTCTAGAGTGGTGACATATCCATCTTTAGCTTCCTAGCTGGGGAAGAGTGTCTCTAGGAAATATTTCAAATGGTATATAAAACCAGCACATTGTACCCCATGATTACATTAATATATACAGCTATGATTTAATAAAAAAAAAAAAAAGAGTGTCTCTAGGACGAATATAGCTTCTAGGAAGCCTCTGCAGGGGTGGGCACTGTCAAAAAGAGGGCGCCTACCTCACTACTTCTAAGAGCTCTTACCTGGCTCACCTGCCTCCTGTATTCTTTGGCTGTGATCCCTTCCTACTCAAATATACTCCTATCCTCACCTCCCCTTGCTCTGACACCCCCTTTCTCTTATAGCCTGTGGTTAGCTTAGTAAACATTTGGTGGCACACTGTATCTGTCTTTCCTATAGCCTGGAGAACCCAATGGAAGCTCAGGACACTGCGGTGAGGGGTTATAGTAGTAAGCCATTGGTGGCTAGGCCTGCTGATGACCCTGATTGATGGCATCAGATCACTGAGGCTTGGTGATCTATGCAGGCCACAGAGACCTGATTAAGTGTAGGGTTCCTTTTAACACCCCTTTTCCATATGTGCTGTGGAAGCTTGCGTTACATTTAGTGTGACAATAGCCCAGCTTCCTGGCTGACTAGAAGAGGAAGTATATGGGTAGGAGCCATTGTGCGACTGGGCTCCTCAGATGGACAAGGCCTCCTGGGGATGTGCCCTTTGATGGGCTTTTACCTGGATCCCTGGGTGTTCTGCTTAAACAGCCAGGGGCTGGCACCTATGTGAACTGGAAAAGGCTACAAAGGTGAGTGGGTATCTGCTTTGCCCAGGGGGGCAAAGTTGTAGGTTCTGGGCCATTCGTCGTGGACAGTGTTACTCCAGTTCTGCCTGTAGAGGGGATTTTCTTCTAATGCCTAAGGGGGAGCCTGGACTTGAGAACTGTGCCACCCTATCCTTGTGCATGCAGCATTGGTAGCTTCAGTGTCTTGCCCCTGCAACCTTATCTTTTCTATCCCCACAATTTGGACCTGAAGAATAGTTGCAAGAACAGTACAAGGAATTCCTGGATAGCCTTTATCCTAATTCCTTTAATTAGCTTTACTGCATGTGCTTTATCTTTTACACAGACACAGAGGGTGCCAAAACATAGATACACATTTTAAGAAAGAAAACTGTATTAAAATTGTAATACTTGGCCAGGAGTAGTGGCTCACACCTATAATTCTAGCGCTCTGGATTGCTTGAGCTCAGGAGTTCAAGACCAGCCTGAGCAAAAGTGAGACCTAGGTTTCTAAAAAAAAATAGCCAGTGTTGAGGGTGGGGCCTGAGGTCCCAGCTACTTGGGAGATTGAGGCAGGAGAATTGCTTGAGCCCAGTAGTTTGAGGTTGCTGTGAGCTATGACTCCATAGCACTCTACCAAGGGTGATAATGTGAAACTCTGTCTCTAAAATAAATAAATAAATAAATAAATAAAATAAAGAAAAAAATGCAATACTCAAGTCACATTTGACTTCTGCAATTACAAGAGCTGCTCAAACATGACTGCATTCATCTTTAGTTATCAGTACATGTGAGTATGTTGAGTATTACAGTTTTAATACAATTTTTTCCTTTCTTAAAATGTGTATCCATGTTTTGGGCACCCTCTCTATATAAGAACCTTTTAAGAGTAATTTGGAGACATGATGTACCTTACCCTCAAATACTTGTATGTATTTCCTAAAAACAATTTTCTTATATAACCACAGCATGTGATAAAATCAAGAAATTAAAATAGATGCAATATTATTATTTAAACTATAGATCTTACTCAGATTTTAGTTTACTTTCAAATATCCACTTTCCACAGTCTGTAGAACACTTTCAACCCACTATGATTGTGACTCCTTTTTGTTATTAATGATAACAATACAAATAATCATCATTGCTGTTACTTGTTCAACAACTAGAGCATGGAATACATTGTTTTATTGTTACCAGTAAAGTGGGTATAGATAGGGTATTTTTCTAGTTTTATAGATGAAAAAAAAAGGAGACTCAAAGAGAGTAAAGGTTTGCTCACTCTTGTGGTTTTGTGGTGTGGCAGTCCTGGGACTGAATCCAAGTTGGGTGACAGCTAGGATGATGGAATGGAAGGCAGGCTTTGCTTTTCAATAAGATAGGTGAGCTTGGGAAGTTTGCAAGGATATTACTGTGAGGCTCCCCAGGGCAATGGGGAGCAAGGCCAGGGAGGAGTGGGGAGTTGCAGGAATAGCACTGGACTCCTAAGTTTGTTAAGGGTTTCAATGTTGACAGCTGAACTCTAGCTCTGCCTCTTGCTGACAATTTGCTAACTGAGTATGTTCCTGTCTGTTAAGGTGGCAATAAAAATACTGTCTTCAGTTTTCACGACAATTAAATGAAGTAGCCCAAGGGAAGTGTTTAGTGTAAGGGAAACTTTGAGATAGCTACTATTATGTGTCAAGTGAATACATTTAAATCTATTCTATCCAAGCACTGTCTGCCTGATCCTTTTGTATAACTTTCAGTGCCAAAGGAACAGGGGCTCCAGAGATTTCCCTCAGAAACTGCTCTCACCTGCCACCTAGAGGGCCATGATGTCAATGTAGGCATGACAGGGCAGGACCCATACTACCCAAGAACCAGGCTTGTCAGACATCTGTGCCCATGTCTGTGGGCGGCTGGGCCTATGGATGACCAATAGCTGTTCCTGATGTTTATTATCAAAATGGAGGGGAAGTGAAAAAGACGTTTCCACCCTCTGTACTTTTTTTTTTTTTTGAGACAGAGTTTCCCTCTATTGCCCTGGGTAGAGTATTGTGGCATCATAGCTCACAGCAACCTCAAACCCTTGGGCTGAAGAGATCCTCTTCCCTCAGCCTCTCAAGTAGCTGGGACTATAGGCACCACAACACCTAGTTTGTTGTTGTTACTTTGAGTAGAGACAGGAGCCATGGTGTTGTTCAGGCTGGTCTTAAACTCCGGAACTCAAGAAATCCACCCGCCTCAGCTTCCCAAATTGCTAGGATTACAGGTGTGAGCTGCCTTGCCCACTCACCCTCTGTACTTGTCAGGAAAGAGGCTTGGTGAGGGAGGTACTGAGTGAGTGGGCAGATGGTGGGAACTTCCTTCTGTCACAGATAATTTAGTGCAATGGTTCTCTAATCCTGTTTCCCAGGGCATATTTGGAGACATTTTTGTTTGCCACAATGGGGGCTGGGTGGATATTGACATCTAAGCTTGAGACGTAACATACCATGAACAGGGTAGTTCCCACCCCACATCAACCCAAAATGTCAATAGTCCTGAGGTTGATAAATTCTGATTAGAGTAATATTTAGAGTGATGCTGCTGGTTTTCCAATATATCATCTGTTTTCCATCATCTCAGATCTGGCTCCTTCTAGTATAATGATGATGTGACCTTCCCAAGCACTTCCCAAGCAACTTCCCAAGACCGAGGTCCTTTCATGTGTATGTGTCTTGCAAGTCCTTTTCTGATTAATGATGTCATCTAATGTACAAGAAACAGGCAAGATGTGGCACCCTCAGAGAACTATGCTTCACTCATTCCACCCATGGTCTCGCATTACTTCGACTCTCGGTGCACTAAGCTTCTCCTTGCAATATGGAACTCAACTTCTGTCCTTTTTAAAGTTGAAGAGGTTTTGAGTCTCCGTGAGCGCCTAAATTAGAGCTTTCCTCTGCACCCCCGCCACAGGAGCAGTGAATAATCTGACAGAGAGAGGCACTCCTCAAGTTCCTGAAGGGGCCTCAGGAAGAAAAGGTCCCTCCAACCACTTGGCTCGTGGGTGTTGCTCTGGGTCTCACTGCCCAAGAGGGAGGTATGCGTTGCTCTTGAGGCCCGGAGTGGAGAGTGGGAGCGAGATGGACGACCCAGCACAGACCAGAGAGGCCTTAGACGACCCAGGAGGGCTCCGCACCGCCAGCACCACACGGGCGGGAGCGGCGAGGGGGCGGGGTCGGACTCTGGCGCACGCGCGGCACCCCGCCCCTCGTGGCGTCGGGTTTCCGGCCTCTTCTTTCTGCATCCAGGGCAAGCGATCCCTTCGTGTGATCTCGGGCGGCGGCGCCTAACTGGAACCGGAAGTGGATCTGGAGCCTGGAGGAGGAAGTCGCCGGCCGCCCCGTCAGCAGCTGCGGTTGCCAGTAGGCGCCGGGGGTGCCAGTAGGCGGCGGTGGTCCCGAAGGGCGGCGGCCGCGCTGCCCGAGGGCTCGGCACCATGAAGCTGTACAGCCTCAGTGTACTCTACAAAGGCGAGCCCAAAGCCGTGCTGCTCAAAGCCGCGTACGACGTGTCTTCCTTCAGCTTCTTCCAGAGGTCCAGGTGAGGGGAGGCAGGCGGGAGGGCAGTGGCGGCCAGACGGAGGGGCCCGGGGTCGGGAAGGGGTCGGGGTAGGATTGGAGAAACTCGAGGGCAAGGGGCGGGGCGGGGACTGCCCGGTGTCCGGGCCTGTACCTGTGTGTGGCGGAACGTCCCTTTGAGGAATCATCCCGCGTTCACTCGTAAAAGGATTGTATACTATTCTAGGACATCGTCCTGTCCTCAGTGTTTTTCAAATATCTGTTCTGTAAAAATTATAAGGGGCTTTGAAATACTGCACATTCCCAAGAAGCCCAGAAATCTATGGTTTAAACCAACACCTCTCTCCTCGTTATTCCGACCCTGAGACCCTGGGTGCCACAATTTGAGAGTCACATTTTATTGTCTCATGGGGCTTATTCTCAGTAATTCCGTATAAGAGATATTGGTATACTGTTTTTTTTTTGTTTGTTTTTTTAATGGGTGAAGTCACTGAGTTCCCGAGAGATTATACCACAGCCAGATAGGACTGAAACTCAGATGGCATGCTTTTTGATGGTTCGGCACTTGCAGTAGGAAAAGGTTCTTTCGACCCTGAAGAATTGGAAGAAAGAATGGGAACTGTAGAGCTTACAGGCTTTTAAATGTTTCAAGGTGCTTTAATTTCAGGAAGGTATTAGAAGTACCACAGACACTTGCAGCCCGTTGGTGGGAGGGGTGCAGTGACTTAGGCACAAAATGAGAAGGACCCTACAAGATCTGTATCCGTGTTCATCTTGTCTTAAAGTGTGGTGGAATCTGTCATTTGGATCCTATTTTCACTGCTTCAGTGCAACTGTTCTTGAGGAGTGGCATGCTGGCTAGATCTAAAAAAAAATTTTGTTACCTAGTTGAAACTTTTTGCTCCTTAGGGGTTCTTTTAAAAATTATCAGTTTTTAAATTGTGGTAAAAATGCTCATAAAACTATCTTTTAAAATGTTTTTGTGTAAGGCAGTGGAATTAAATAAATTGTATGCAACCCTCACCACTATTTGTCTCCAAAACTTTTCATCTTACAAAACGGAAACTCTTAAGCCCATTAAACACTAATTCCCCATTCCCTCCTACCCTACCCCCCAGCAACCATTATTCTTTTTTATTTTTTGAGACAGAGCCTTAAGCTGTTGCCCTGGGTAGAGTGCTGTGGCATCACAGCTCACAGCAACCTCCAACTTCTGGGCTCAAGCCAGTCTCCTGCCTCCACCTCCCAAGTAGCTGGGATTACAGGCGCCCGCCACAATGCCTGGCTGTTTTTTGGTTGCAGCTTTCATTGTTGTTTGGCAGGCCCAGGCTGGATTCAAACCCGCCAGCTCAGGTGTATGTGGCTGGTGCCTTAGCTGTTTGAGCCTCAAGTGCCGAGCCAGCAACCATTCTTCTAATTTGTCTCTATGATTTTAACTACTCTAAGGACCTCATATAAGTGGAATATTTGCAGTTTTTGTCTGTTTGGGGCTGGCTTGTTTCACTTAGCGTAATGTCTGCAAGCTTCTTCCATGTTGTCCATATTTGACTTCCCCTCCATTTTAAGGCTGAATAATATTCTCTTGTATGTATACATAATATTTTGTTTATCCATTCATCTGTGGATGGACCCTGGGGTTGCCTCCACATTTCAGCCATTGTGAATAATACTGCTATGGATGTGGTTGTACAAATATCTCTCGATCCTGCATACATTTCTTTTTGATATATATCCAGAAGTAGAATTACTTTATTACTTTTTGATTCCTCTTATAATTCTTCTTGATACTTTGTTTTGTTTACCATGGCCTCTACTCTCTGCTCTGTGTTATTTTCTCATATGGAACTTTCAGTGCCAGTTTGGCTCTGATTTTTTTCTTTATTCCTTGCCATTAATATTGAAGATTCTCAGAGATTTTTTTTATATCTTTTTTTCTTAATTAAATGATAGCTGTGTACATTAATACAATCATGGGGCACAGTGTGGTGTTTTCATATACAATTTGAAATATTTTCATCAAACTGGTTAACATAGCCTGTATGTCATTTTCTTAGTTATTGTGTTAAGATGATTATATTTTACTCTTAGAAAGATTCACTTGTACCCTTGTAAGATAAACCATAGAAGTGATCCCTCTAATCACCCTTCCTCCACTCATCCTCCCTCTCCTCCCCCTCCCCTCTCCTCATATTCTTAGGCTATAATTATAATAGTTTCATAATAAAGCTGTGTACATTGGATACTTTTTCTTTCATTCTTGTGATACTTTGCTAAGAAGAACATTTTCCAGCTCCTTCCATGCAAACATGAAGGATGTAAAGTCTCCATCTTTCTCTATGGCTGTATAGTATTCCATGGTGTACATATACTACAGTTTATTTAATCCATTTGTGGATCATAGGGCACTTGGGCTTCTTCCATGACCTAGCAATTATGAATTGGGCTGCAATAAACATTCTGATACAAATATTTTTGTTGTAATGTGGTTTTTGGTCTTCTGGATATATACCTAATAAAGGAATTGCAGGATCAAATGGCAGGTCTATTTTTAGTTCTCTAAG